TGGATTTTCTCCAAATGACTCCCATTTCCAATTCTGCCTGCATTCCAATGAAGCCAGAGTCATCCCAATTAGCAAGCTAGATAATTACATAGGTCTTTGGATGGGATTCTACCTCAGACTCAAGAGGTCACCTAGACTATAGACTTTACAGATTTATTTCTGGATGTTTAAAGCAACGTTTCCACTGTTTTGAAATATTGGAATCGCCACAGAATGCCAGAGTGTCCCTCATAGGGTGGGCAAAATACGGTGTGACTGTCCTTGGATGGCTCCGGGACTGTACTGTAGCATTCTAAAGAACACTCTAATAATTATACATCTTAGGACGACACTGTGGCTTAGGTGGCACAGTACTTGCCTGCCTGGTATGTAAGAAGCCCTGGTTTCCATCTGCAGTACTGCATATATCAGGTGTGGTAGTGAAATGTTGTAATTGCAGCATTCAGGAAGTGGAGGCAGGAGGATCAGAAGTTCATGGTCACTGTTGGCTACATAGAAAACTGGAGACCATCCTGGGACACGTGAGGCTGAACCTGAAGTTCACCAGTTTGCCTAGACTATGGCCAATGAGCTCCAGGATCCTCCCCTCTCTGCCTCCCCAGTGCTGGGGATACAGGTGTGTTCTACCTTGCACAGCTGTTGACTGAGCACTTGGGATCTAAACTCAGATCCTTATGTTTATGCAGTAAGCACATTAACAACTGACCCATCTTCCAAACTCCCCATTCTGCATTGCTATATATTTAAAGTGGATTAGAAAAGTGTAGTGTGTGTGTGTGTGTGTGTGTGTGTGTGTGTTAGATTTATGGTCCATCTGTGGACAATACTCTGCCCCATTTCTTAGGCCTAAAGGGAAGGGACATGTTATTGGTTGGAGCTGAATGTGTGTGCTTTTAGATATAACCTTGGAGGTCCAGATAAAAAGCTTTCCACATTCAAGTGAGGCAGGCTTTTTCTGCTTGTTGCCAGGCAGGTTAGGTCTGCAGCAAGCCAGTTCCTGGGATCTGGAGCAGAAAAGTTATTTGACTTCTATGGAGAGGTATTTGCTCGCAGAGCTGTAAGGCTGTTGCTGATGTGACCACCAGGGAGGCACATGGCCAAGAGCGGTGGCTTATCTGCTATGCTAATATTTGCCCTGAGCTCCGGCTGGATACTCATGTCACACTGGGTGACTGCCTGTCCAGACTTTGGAATACTGCTTTGTACATGAAGCCACCAAGCTCAATTAAGCTTGGGACAACAAGGAGTTGAGTCAAGAGAGGTAGGGCAGAGCCCCAACCCTGGCTCTGCCAATTTGAACAGATTGAGGGACCCGGGCCATGTGGCTCCATTATAGTTAAGGGTGGCAGAGAGCAAAAGACATCAGCATGCACGACCTTCAATCATGGCTATGAAGGGATCCTTCTAGCATGTGCTGGCCATTTAACCCTGAACATCCCCCACTGAATTATCTATGATCCCCCCACTGGCCAAAGCCAGCCTGACACAAACCTAGAAGAAGGAATATTCTTTGTCTCCATCACATTTCCTGGTGGCAACATCTGTGAGGCATTTTCTTTCTTTCTTTTTTTCCTTGTTTAGTGCAAGGGGTTTATTGGGAGAGGGGGAGAGCTGAAGGACATATCAGAGTGGGGACATGAGAAAGGCAGGCAGGCAGACAGACAGACAGACAGACAGACAGACAGACAGGATAGAAACAGGAGGAAGAAGAGAGGAGCAAGAGGCAAGAGCTCTGAGGCATTTGCTTATCTGTTATCGCGCAGGAGGACCCATCCCACAGCAGGTAGCATCATTCCTAGGCAGCTAGACGCGGGCTGTATCAGAAAGGCAGCCCAGCAAGCCAGCGGAAGCAAGCTAGTAAGTGGCATTCCTCCTTGGTCTCTGAGTTCTGTCTTGGCTTTCCTCTTTCAGGTTGGTTTCAGCCAGCGTTTTATTACGGCAACAGAAACCAAATGAGAACAATGAGTTAGTCATTTCACTGAAGCCTAGAAGAGTAGCCAGCTTGATACCAGTCTTGGAGCTTGGAGCTTTTTCTTCAGAAAAAAGTCCGAGCTGAATTTTGCCTTAGTCTTGCTTCATTCCTCCACAAATAAGTTGTTCACCAACATAATGAAGGACCCCAGAATGAGTCCTCGAGGATAGCTCAGCCAGGTACGAAGACCTGAGTTTGACAGTGGCACTCTGGTAAACACACCAGCACTGGAGGAGTGGGGACAGTCAGATTGCTGGGCCTGCTGACCCGCCAGTCTAGTGGAACTGGTGAGCACCAGGCCAGTAAAAGAGTCTGCCTTAAAAAATCAAGGTGGAGCTGGGTGGTGGTGTCATATGGTTTTAATCTTTGAGTTCAAGGCCAGCCTGGTCTACAGAGGGAGTTCTAGGATAGCCAAGGCTGGAAACTCTGTCTGGAAAAACAAAAAAACAAAACACACAAACAAACAAAACAACAACAACAACAACAGAAGAAGAAGATGAAGAAGAAGAAGGAGAAGAAGGAGGAGGAGGAGAAGAAGAAAGCAAGGCAGAATGCTAGAGGAATGACAGCTAAGATTGTCACAAGGCCTCCATACACACATGCCCATGTACCCACTGGGTACCCATGTACACGAAGAGAGAGACAGAGAGATAAAGAAATGGAAGGCCTAGCTAAATACATCCTGAGAGGGACTGGGTTTGCTCAGGACATAACAGAGTTCAGTGCTCCAATAAAGGCAGGCAGTAAATGCTTCCGCCTCTGTAGGTGAGCTACTCTTTGTCACGATTGCTCAGCTCTACAATTTTAGTAAAAAAGCATCCACAGACAAGGAGGAGGCATGCCTGTTTTCTAATAAGAAGCTATTTACAGATACAGCTAATGGGCTGATTCAGTGCGTGGATTAGGGGTCACCAACTGTTGACACAGTTTAAGAATGGGCATCTGCGCATCTTCAGGCTGGCCTGGATTTACCAGATGCTTACAAGCTTGACTGTTCTCACACTCAGAACCAGTTCTCACTATGGCAATTCTTACCTGGCCCAATAATGACATCAATAACAGCATCATTTAGTTGTCCTGTGAGGTGTGCTAAACCCTACTGATGAGTCCTGTGTGTGTGGGGGAAGGGGGAGGAACAAGCCAACAGCTGGGTGTGTGGTGCACACCTTGAATCCCTGTACCAGGAAGGCTGAGGCAGAAGGAGCTGAAGTCCCATGGCAGCCTGGGTAACACAGAAGGATCCTGTTTCAAAATACAAAACAAGGCTGGCCATGGTGGCTCTCAGGAGGTTTCTACCTCAGCATCTGTAATCCCAGCCATCTGAGGGGGACTGCAAAGAGTTTGAGGCCAACCTAGTCTCTATATAAACCAACTTAGGCTATGACCTACTTCCTCCAGGGAGGCACCACCCCTTAAAGGCTCCAAAATTTGCAAAATAGTCCCACTAGCTCAGGATCAATACAGCACATGAGCCAATGAGGGAGGTGCTCTGATTCAACACATAATATACACGTAGGATGGAGCCATTTCCTGCAGTTCTGGGTTTGGACTGAGACTTGCCACATGATGTCATGTGTGGACTCCCCACCCCCTCCAGCCCCCCCCCCACTATGTTAGCATCAAGTACTTCGGTCATCAAAAATTTTAGTTAGGAATATTCAACTTGTGCTAACACATAAGGAATAACTATTTTATGGGTGTAGGGATCCTCAATATTGGTGTCACTGCCAATGACTCAGATAACTAAGATGGGGAGCCCTTCCATGCACTGTAGCATGCTTACAATATTCCTCATCTGCACGCACTGGACACCATACTACTACCCAAACATGATGATCAAATTCATCTGGAGACATGGCCAGACTGCCCCCTGGAGGTGGGAGACAGTGATTCTGTCCTTAGTAGACATATACTAATGCAGTACAGAATCTATCTGTCTCTAGTAAAGACCAATATCTGGTGATAAATCAGGGTCCGTCATAGCCACTAGGAGCCACGAGATGGCTTAGACCATGAAGACACTTGTCACTAAGCCTGGCAACCCAAGTTTGATCTCCAGAACCTAGAACTCACATGGTAGGGCGAACTGATTCCTTCAGGTTGTCCTCTGACCTCCACATGCCTGCATACGGAATTCACTCATACACATACCTACATGCCTGCATATGTTACTCACTCATACAAGTCCACACAGAGAAATGGATACATGTGAAAAACAAAACAAAACGAAAAACAAACAAAACAAAACACCCTGCCAGCTCCCTTGTTCCTTTGGTATAATCAGCACTCCAGACCCAAAGGATGGGCAACACCTTTCATTTTCTGAACAGCAGATCAGAAAAGCAACCAGACCTCCTATCTGGGCATGCCACTGATACCTTCAGAGGTCAGACTCTAATTCCTCCATGGGGGAGACACGAGGCATAAGATCACAGCTTATTTTTCCACGAAGGGTTTTATTGGACATTAAGTTTGAAAAGCCCTGGGGTGCTTGTCCATCAAAAGTCTTTTAAAATTACAACACTGGCTCCCCGAGGCTGATGTGTTGTATATAAAGAGGGTGGTATCCAGTAACCTTCTAAGTCACATTTCACCTGAAGCTTTTGAGGCAGGGTCTCTCACTGAACCTGGAATGTACTGAATCAGCTATACCGGCTGACCAGTGACCTCTGTCTTTGCATCTACCTAGCAAACATGTACTACATTTTATGTGACCCTAGGGATCTGAGCTCAGGTTCTCATGTCTGTTCAAAGAGTACTTTCCCCACTGACCCATCATCTCCCTAGTCCACTTCTCACGTCTAACATGCAAAGAGGTAAAAGGTGTGGGGTACAGTTGCTGTAAGGAAGGACAAGCAACCCCAGTTAAAATACCAGCCTCCTAGAGCAACCGAACCCTGAACACTTGTTTATGTCTGATGGACACAAGCCCTGGGCACTTGGCTTCATTACTCCCTGGATCAAAGCAAAACTAAATTACCTCACAAGCTTCCTTTCAGAGAGCTCGACAGCAGGTGGGCGGACTCACCTTCCAGAAACTATCCACTTTGCCATACACAAGGGATTGGTTCTGCCTCTTGATCTCGTTAATGTGGTGGATGTCGCTGGAGTTCAGGTGCTGCTCCACCACGAAGCCCAGGAAGCTGTTGTCTGGGGTGTGAGCTGATGGGGAAGCAACAGACAGGGTTGTGAGCACTTAAGAGGCAGAGAGCGGTGGTGGCATTATAGACTCGACACAGGCCATCTAACCACCACCCCCCCACCCCGCATAGGCTTGCCCTTCATTTGGTTATGTCTCACCCAGGAGCCCAGTCTACTGTGATTCCAGCTGGGTTTGCCATTTAGTGTATGTAAATCAAAATCAAACAGCATAATCTTACAATTTTGCCTGCTCAGTGGATTATTCTCTGATAAAAGATGTAGAAGGACTGGAGAGGGTAGCTGAGTGGGGAGTGTCAGCACAGCCCAATCTGTGAGTTCCTGGTTCAGTGAGAGATTGTGGAAGGCTGCGGCTAAGCCTGGCAAGGCAGGCTTGATCAGGCTGAGGGGGCTCACGGGGAAGGCACTTGGCATGCAAGCATGACACCTGAGCTCTATCATAGATGCATACAGAGAGAAGTCTGGGTGTAGTGGCACACATCTACAATCCATGCATGGGTAGGGAGTCAGGTGGAATCCAGTGCCTCGATGGCCAGCCAGGCTAGCAGAAAAGAGTAAACTCAAGGTTCATTGGGAGGTCTTGCCTCAAAACAAACAAATAAATGGACAGATCGATGAATAAATCCTAAGATGGAAGTGATTGAAGGAGATATTAAACATCAACCTCGGGCCTACACACACACACACACACACACACACACACACACACACACACACAACATGTTTAAAAAAAGGATTGCATAATTACGGTGGTCCCATGAGATTCATGGATGGATGGATGACATCCTAGTTGCCTTGGTTCGGTAAGTACAAGCTAGGCTGCCTGCACAACAGCCATACACTGCATTTCATCTTTTTAAAAATATCCTTTACAGCTATTCCAGAAGAAGGAAAGGGTTTTGCTTTTGATCCTCCCTACCTACAGGTTCTACAACTTCTCAATATGACATACCAAGCAGGAAGCCAACAGAAGCTATGCCAAGAATATTAGTGCCTTGTGATTATACGTTTTGAAATATTGTATGTCTCTCTCTCCCTATCCTATCCCCCCACCCCCAGGTTCTACGCACGCCTGTGTGTTGAGGTCAGGTGCTATCTACTTTTTGTGTGTGTATGTGTGACAATATCCCTCATTAGGACTCACTCACTGGGTAGACTGGCTGGCACTGAGCCCTAGGCAGCTCTGTCTCTGCCTCCCCAGTGCTGTGGATTCATGTGTGTATCATTATTTATGCTTGACTTTTTATGTCGGTATTGGGAATTGAACTCAGGTTCTCCTGTGGCCATCAGTTTTGGAGCTAGCTCAGCCCTGTATGCTTTTCAAGTACGTGTCACTAGGAGGGGGCATCTGATCAGAAGACAAGTCTCTCTTGATTACATAGGACCCTCATCAACTCCACCTCCCATCTCATTCAGATAAATTTCAGCTTGTCAGGAGATAATGAAGGCCACACATGGCTGGTATGAATCAAAGCAGCCGTTGTTTAGCCTGACCCAAACAAAACAGCTAAAACTCACACACACAAAACTAAACTCCCCCAGTAACTGAGATTGGCCAGTCGGTACCATCCACACACTGCAGTTTCAGCCATGTCCATTCCCCTTTGCATGCCCTCAAAGTCCGTTCAGAAGTTCTGTGTGGGGGTTGAGCATACACACACAAGTGTGACTATATGCCCGTGGAAGTCAGAGTTCAGGAGTCTTGTTCAATCAATTTCCACCCTTTTTTTTTTTTTTTTTTTTTAACATTTATGTGTAGAAATGTATACCTGCATGAGGCCAGAAGAGGGCGTCAGATCCCCAGAAATGGGGTTATAGGAGGTTGGGACTTGCCTGACCAGGGTGCTGGAAATCGCAGAGAAATGTGAGCTTCTAATCACCGAGCCATCTCTTCAGCCCCTCCACCTCCAACAGTGTCTTTCAGTGAACTTTGAGTCACTGCTTCAGCTGGGCTAGCTGGTCAACCTCCTAGGGGCCGGGACTGTGTGTAAGCAAGTGCTGTCACGCCCAGCATTTTTATGTGTGTGTGGAGGATGCACTTTACTACTGAGTGAGCCACCCCAGCTCTATTCTGTCTTTCTGGGAGGGTGTGAAGGGGAAGATGGGTGCTGATGCACAGACATTCTGTGGAGATGCACAGGCTACGTAAATATCACCATGCCATCGGCCAGTCTCCAGGGCCTGCGCCTAACGGGGTGACAGGAGGAGGAGGGAGCAGGGCTGAGACTGGGAGTGTGCTCAGCCAAGCCAATCTGTACTTTCATTTCCGTGTTTTTGAACAAGCGCCCAGAGGCAAGGGCCAAGGCTACAGTTAGCCGACGAGCAAATTACTGAATACATTCTATGGCCAACAAGAGACAAAGCAAGGGTTGCCTGCTGCTGGGTTTTTTCCCCCTCCCTTTTGAGGGGCACAGAGGGAGAGGACACTAAAACTAGAAAGAACAGGGTACCCAGGAGACAGCCTGTGCATTGGACGCATCCTTAAGGCAACCTTTTCTTCAGCCTCCGGCAAGTCTGTGAGGGAGGGGCTAGATTGGGTAAATTGAGGTGGGAGGACCCAGTCTAGATGTGGGCAGCATCCCATGGACTGGGGGTCCCGGGCTGGATGAAATGGAGCAGGAGAGATGAGCACCAGCTTTGACCTCTCTCTGCTTCCAGACTGCGGATGCCACGTGGCCAGCAGCTTCTTGCTCCTGCTGCCACGCCTCCTCTGCCTTGATAGACTGTAAACCATTCCACCATCGGCGTTCCTGTGCAAGCACCAATGCGCATGTGCGCGCGCGCGCGCGCGCACACACACACACACACACACACACACACACACACACACACACACACACTCCTACTGACTGTGATCCCAAACAAACCCTTCCTCCCTTAAATTGCTTTGGTCAATAATTTTATCACAGAAACAAGAAAAATAATGAACAGAGCATACGATACCAATTCGTTCATTTTATCCCAACCACTCTGTAACAGATGGAGACACAGGAAGACCCCAGACAGGCCCAGGATCCAAGGATTCAGGGTGGGAACCTTCTTTCATTATAATTGTAACAGCCAGCGTTAGAATATAAATATTTTATTTTCTGTACCCTGTGAATAATAGCAGTAAGCCATACTTTCAGAGCAAAAGCATGTTCTACTATAGTCTGGAAGACACATGGGAAGACAAATGTGTTTGTGTTTATACACCATTATACAAGCATAAACCATGTCAATGGAGCTTTGTCATGTGTATTGTGACTACAATCAACTTTTTTGTTTCATTTGAGACATGGTCTCAGGTAGCCCAGGCTGGCCTTGAACTCACCATGTAGCTGAGGATGGCCGTGAACTCCTGATGCTCCTGCCTCCACCTCCAGAGTGCTGGGATGGCAGAAGTATACCACCATGCCTGGCTTATGTTGTGCAGGAGATGGAACCCAGAATGTCATGCATGCTACTCAGGCACTCTGCGCACAGAGCTTCATCCCAGCCCCAGTGAAACTGACTTTGCTTTCAATTACACAAATCTCCAAGGCCTGTTTTTCTCCTGGCAAATCTTTTAAACACCTCTAAGAATTTTGAGTTACATTCTCACTACCCATTCCCTAAGGCATAACCCCAGGAGCCAGCCTGGGCTGGCTCCTCAGCCCTCATAGCCAGCTAGTCACCAACTTCTCAAGGTTCACAACTACCTCTCTCCTCTCTACCTTTCAAAGCTCAGGCCACATCGATTTTTGACTACAAACAAGTTTTTCTTTCCCCTAAATAGAAATGCTTTAATTGCTTTTCCTGTTATAACTGATACATGTTCTCAATGTAAAACGTGTTTTCCTTTTTTTAGTAATAGAAGAATATAAAGAAGGAAGTGATTTATGAACGTACCACCTAAGTACCCACCATTGGTGGCTTTTCTTCTTCCTCTAGATCTATGCATAGGTTTTAGCTTCAAACTAAAATGGATCCTGTTACATTCACTCTGTGTGTGTGTGTGTTTGTATGTACTTGTATGTACACCAGAGGATGCTCTTGGCTATCTTTTCTCAGGCTGTATGTACAGTTTATAAAAAGATGTATTTATTATTTTTGTGCACATGAGTGTTTACCTCCATGTATGTATGGACAGTACATACATTTCTGGTGCTTTTGGAAGCAAGAAGAGGGTGTTAGAACCCCTAGGACATGAGTTATAGGCAGTTGTTAGCTATCATATGGGTGCTGAGGACTAAACCTGGTTCCTATGCAACAGCAGGATGTGCTTTTAATTTCTGAGCTACATTTTCAGCCCTCAATTTGTATTTTGAGATAGGGTTCCTTAGTGTTCACTAAGCAGAGTAGCCTGGCTGGCCAGCAAGCCCTAGGGCTCTGCAATCTCTGTGTCTCCAGCACTGGGATTACAAGTGCACACCACCGTGTGTGTGTGTGTGTGTGTGTGTGTGTGTGTGTGTGTGTGTGTGTGTGTGTGCAGATACTTATGGGAGAAGATGGTGTTTCTGTTTTTGATACAGGGTTTTTCTGTGTATCCCTGGCTGTCCTAGAACTCACTCTGGAGACCGGGCTGGCCTTGAACTCATAGAGATCCACCTGGCTCTGCTCCCAAGTGCTGGGATCAAAGGCCTGCACCACCACTGCCCAGCTTTGAGTGGCATTTGAACACAGGCTCAGGGAACTGAACTCAGGCCCTTATGCTTGTCCAGCAAGCATTTTTACCAGTTGAGCCATTTCACCAGTCCATAATCTGGATTTAGAAGCTGCACACAGACAGTGGCTATATTTTTCAAATTTTACCAGAACTGATGCTCTTAAACAGTTATGAGGCTCGGTTTGTTGAGAAAGGAGGCTGGGCACAGACTCGGGAAACAGTCGTGGTCAGTGGAGCCGAAAGTGTGAGTGTCAGAGCTGTCCACAGATGCACACCAGAAGGGGCTGTTCAATTGTCAAAAAGCACTTTAGGAGGAGACAAACTCAAGGAGACAACTCCGCCCGAAGGCTGATCCCCAGGGGGAAGGGCCGCCAGG